ATATGCAAGTTCAGCATTCACAGCTGTACCAGCCTCAAACAACTAGTGAGATTGAACCACAGATACCTATCATCGACAGTTATAGTCTCTTTTAATATAAAAGGCTTCCACTCTTTCATTCAAGGCAAAACTATTTTGCTAAACTACTTGATAAACATGATATATTAAAAGTATTGCTGTCGATCCAACATATTTTCAACGTTCTCGTGATAGTCAGTTAATCAACCCTCAAGAAAATGTACAGAAAAACAATGGCATGAAAATCAAGACCAACTCAGACATGAATTCAAATTTTGCTACAGTTACAAGCGACACAGTCAGTTCTAGTAGTAAAAACAGTTTTGCTACCAAAGAACTAATAGATACAGATTCAACCTCCAAGATTTGTAAGTCAACTTATCACCCCCCCCCCCCCCCCCCCCCCCTAACCTTATAAAAGTCTGGTCCACTGCGAATAGTCTCTTTTAATATAAAAGGCTTCTACTCCAACCAAAACTATTTTTCTGAACTACTTGATAAACATGATATAATACTCCTATAAGAATTTTAATTTGCTATCTAATTACGAAAAAGAATTACTGAAACAGTATCATTTGGACTGTTTAGCTTTTACAAGTTGATGATGACGATCCACTGTCTCCATTTGGTAGACCAAGAGGACATGGTAGAGTTGCAATCCTATACAGAAAAAAACATGTCAGTTATGTTCTCTAAACTCCCAGATGGAGATAACAGATATACAGGCTATTGAGATCTCAACAACAAAAAATCCAATCTGCCTCATAAATGTGTACCTTCCCTCAAGAGGTACAGATAAGGGACACGATTCCTATAGAGCCGCGTTAGATACGCTAAAAGAAATGTTACTAAAATATCAAAGAACCCACACAATTCGTATTGCAGGCGACTTCAATACGTCTTTTGTTAGACAATATAAGGACACTCAAGACATGCAAGATGAGCTATTCAAAATTTTTTGTAATGAAAACCAAATTGAATTACCATTTAATTACCCAGCTGATCACACTTACCATCAGGGAATATCAAAATCACAGATTGATTACATATTGATTAAAAATCTGGAGAATGATTAAAATACAGGAGAGCTTATCCAGGTGAAAATTTTAAAAGAAGGACACAACACCTCAGATCATTTTCCTGTGTCTGCTGACCTCTTCATAATAATAAGATCGAATAAAAAAAAAGACATGATAATGGAAACACTCCAATAAAGATTAAATGAGAAAAAGTCAACAAAGAAAACTATGAACAAAAAGTGATTAAAGAACTAAAAGATCACAAATACCTGAACATGAGAACACCTTACGGAATCGAACAGGCTACACACCAATTAATTACTGGACTAAATAAAGGAGTAGATCAATGCTATCCACAGAGAAAATCTAAATTCAAGAGAAGAAAAAAGATGAGTTGGTCACCAAAATTATCTCAAGCTGTTAGCGAATCAAAAAAGGCTTTCTACCTTTGGAAAAAAGCTGGGTCGCCTCCATCTAAAAACAACATATATAACATACGGAGATTTGATACTAAACGAACAGTTAGATCAATTCAAAGGCACCAACGTGGTAATAAAAGACTTGAGTTACATGAAGAAATCATGAAAGCTTCAGACAGAGACAAAGATATATTCTTTCGTTTAATAAAGACTCAAAGGTCTTCATCATTCCAGTCCGCACATACCCTACATAGAGAGGGAAAGGAAGCTTCAGCTCCCGAAGACATAAATAATCTCTTCAAAGATCATTTTTCAATGCTAGCTCAAACCAATTCAAATTCTATTTTTCAATGAGAAACATGACAACCTTGTCAAGCTAGATGTAGAATCAATTGTAAACATATGTGAAAATGAAGAAATAACAATTCAACCGGTTACTTCATCTGAAATTTCGAAACTCATTTCTTTATTAAAAACAAAGAAGTCCATTGAAGATGTAGATGGTCTAACTTCAGAACACCTTATTTATGGTGGATCAGCGTTAGCTGAATACCTGACTACCTTACTAAATAATATATTTTACACAAAACATGTTCCTGCTGCTATTAAAAAAGGTCTTCTTACCCCAGTCCATAAAAAGGCAAAGACCCAACCGTACCATTGAATTACAGAGGCGTTACTGTTATCTCTATTATATGCAAAGTATTAGAACTTTTTATCAGAGCAAGGGTCGAGGGCACCCTCATTAAACATCAAAACAAACATCAGAAAGGTTTCCGACCAAGGGCGCATCTTCAATAAACATTGCTCTCTTAATCACTGAAGCAATTAATGAGGCTAAGGATAAAAACGAGTGTCTCATCTTTATTACTCTAGATGCTGAAAAACCTTTCGATGTTGTAGACCATATATACACCTATTTTGGAAATTATACCACCTTGCAAGAAATTACAGGATCAACCTGGTTACTGATAAAAGAACTGTATAACAAAACAAGCACACAGGTTAAATCGCAACGCTGAGTCACGCAGGGAGGGATTTCCTCTGTTGACTTCTATAAGGCTTACAACAAGAACATACTGGATACACTTGAAACCACAAACATTGGATTTAAGATCGGATCCAATTATGTAGGCTGTCCCACGTGCGCAGATGACATAATGCTATGTGCAAACTCAGAATATGATGCGTTAACTCAACTTCGTATCATTGAAAACTGTACTGCAAGAGACAGAGTTAAGATCAATAGTAAAAACACTGAAATTCTGCTTATCAACAAAAAGAATAAAAAAGATAATCTTAAACTTTTTAATGATGAGATTAGTGAAAAGCAGAACATCAAACATCTAGGCATAGAAAGACAGGAACGAAATAATCCAAACATAGAGAATAGAATCTCCACTGCAAGAGCTACTATGTACTCTCTTATGGGAGCAGGTATACACGGAATCAACGGAATTAATCAATTAATATCATACAAACTATGTACTCTCTTATTGGGGCAGGTCTACACGGAATCACTGACGGAATTAATCTATTAATATCATATAAACTTTGTACTCTCTTATGGGATCAGGTCTACACGTAATCACTGACGGAATTAATCCATCAATATCATACAAATTTTGTCCTCTCTTATGGGTGCAGGTCTACACAGAATCACTGACGGAATTAATCCATTAATATCATACAAACTTTGTCCTATCTTATGGGTGCAGGTCTACACGGATTAATCCATTAATATCATACAAACTTTGACCTCGCTTATGGGAGCAGGTCTACACGGTATCAACGGAATTAATCCATTAATATCATACAAACTTTGGAGAACATAAGTAATACCCAGAATGCTTTATGGAATTGAAGTTCTCAGTACTACTAAAACTGATATTAAAAAATTAGAAAATAAAATAAAAAAACATTCAAGCAACTATTGTCTTTACCACAAAGAACTGCTGATGCCGCAATATGTATATCCTACTCGGAGCTGAATCGGTCGGACAACTTATTCACAATGCAGTAATCTCCCTATTCCTCAGAATGTCAAAAAATGAAAATTCAATCGAACATAGAATAGGAATAAGACAACTGGCAACAAAAGATTATCAATCCAATAGTTGGTTTATTAAGGTGGACAGTATTCTCAGATCCTATGATTTGCCTACAGCACATGAAATTATACTTAATCCAAAGAAAATTGGAAAAAAATAACCACCGATATGATTGAATCAACCTAGATAAAGAGATGGACAGAAATAGCTGAAACTAAATCTACTCTTGAACACACAGAAATAAACAACTGGAATTTTCGGAAACCAAATATCTGTTGGAGCAGTGTCGGAGACCACAAAAGAGACAGTAAAGGTATATTATTAAATCTATAGGATACTGACAGGGACTTATAAAACCCAAAGTGTCATTTCCCGTTTTGATAAAACAAAGTCGGTTGAATTTAAGTTATGTATGATATCAGAAGTCCATTACTCTAGTAATAATGGACTTCTGATGATATGTATGAAAGGCCCTGAAGATTACAAACATTTCCTAGTTACTTGTAAAAGCCTAGATAATGTGAGAAATGCCGCTCACCACAGCAGATTAAAACAGATAATGACAGACAACCAGATTATTTAATCATGTCATTAAATCAGAAATGGACTTACATAAACTGCTAGTCGATTGCAGCACCCGTTGAATACCTGCCGCATACCTATATCTCACTTAGCTGATATAGAAAGAATATGCAAAGATTTGGTCTATGCATTGCATATCAAAAGAGCTGAACAACTGTGTTGATTAATAGAACTGGGTTCTAAGAAAATTAACATCAATCAACTAAAAAGTCACCACAACTATACAACAGCGGTTGTGCTATCGGTCATGAGAATCGATAACTACATATGTTTTATCATATTTCATGTAAATTGTTAAACTACTTTACTGGAATCTAAGCCGTATGCGATGTATTTTATACAATTAACTAAGTTAACTCTATATCCCCATGTCTCTTACATCTAGATAATAGGTAACTACCAATTTTTAAACCTTGTAGACTTCTTTAGGTTAAATCTTTTATTTTAAAATCGTACACTCTTAGATTTTTTTAAATTAAATTTTATACTTTTAAACTTCAAAATTTTAGATTTTAATTCACTCAAAATGAGGGTTCCCACGCGATATAAAAAGCCCTATCCATTGGTCCAGACAATGAAAAACCACGAATACTTTTATTATAACAAGTGGAAATTTTTAACTGTAGTTAATCTAATCAAAGTCTTATCAAAGAGTTTTATCCATTTTGAAATAATATAAGTTTTATAATTTCTTGTCAGACGGATGTGTACAGTGTAAATACATGGTTTCTCTCCTTTTGCCTTTATTTTATTTAATTAACATTTATAACTATATTAACAAGGTTAATTAAATTATTTTTAAAATAAACGCATATATTTTTAATGCGGTGACCCTGCAAATAGGGTGGATATCCGATAGAAGAAGAAGAGGAGATTCCCGCGTAAATTACTTCCCTTGTGCCGAACTAAAATATCAACATGGCATCGTCGCGAAAGCGCCGTCATTCTCCTGTAAACTACAAACTATTGCATGAAATTGGAAGAACACCTCCGTCTGTATCATCTGAAAGCACAGACGACGAAGCAAATGCCGATTTCGAGTGCGGAAGTACGTTGGGCTACAAGAAAGCCAAGGAGCGCCCTAGTACGCCATATCCCAATGCCTCTGAGGGTTCTCCGTGTAAAAGAACAGAACATACTGATGTTGGTAGTCCGTTTAAAAAGAACGAACAGACGAATAAATGTAAGACGACTAATGGTGCGAGCACTGCCACAGGAACTGAGTTTGACGATGGCTTACCACGATTTTATAGTAGATCTAGGAATGAAAGATTTAATCCAGAAACATTGTATGACACCAATTTTTCCGACACAGATGATAGTTTAGACCAAGGAAACGACAGTGAGGATGATTTTGTGTCAAATTGGATCAATGAGTCTGACACCGAGCTCGAGACGGACAACACAGCGATGAACGTTGATGACAACTCGCATGCAGAAGAAAAGGTCCAAGAACCAAGCACCACAAACAATGCTGATAAACTGTCAGTCAGTTCTGCAGGTACATTTTAGTATAGTTGGTATAATAGTCCCAGATTTTACTCTTTTTTCATCTTCTAGTTTCCACAATTTATTTATGGTGTCAGGTTCATCACAACCAATATCAAAATATTTTCACTTATTTAATAGCATGATAATTTTAGGACAATTTCTGAGTCTGAAGTGATTTTCTGATTTAAGTTGGTTGCCAATACACCTTATCCCTATTTATTCCTATTCGGATAAGTTCTAGAATTACACAACTTTTCAAACCAGTTGAAGCTATCGAGGTTGTTTTTTTTTGCCGCCTTGTTCAAACAATGTATTATATAATTGTGCATAAAACTTTTCATAGAGACATGTTTAAACCATCGTAACCACATTAAACAAAGCATTTTCAAGGACTTCAATTTGTATCTTTTAAAAATTAATTCTTAAACTATCAAAATTTTAAAATGTCAATTTTCCAAACTTTTTCCTCCCTCAGCTCATTGCTGATGACCTCTGTTTTTGCTCCACTTGACCTCAACAGGAAGTTGTCTAAGTAACTGCTTTTCCCTGATTGGACTAAATAGCGATAAGGTGTATCTACAGGCACTTGTTTCTATCCATGGGAAGGTCGACTATCCATATATAATAGCGACCTTGCCATGGATAGAAACAAGTGCCTGTGAGAAAATCTTCATTAGATTCAATTGGGATTAATTTACACATTGGAAGCAGTAAGTTTGGTAAGGGCCCTCCATGTATTTCAGTATTTGGCCCATACCTGCCAACCCTCCTGTTTTTAGCGGGGCCTCTCCTGTGCAAACGACGAAATTCCGGAAATCTCCGGCTTGCTGGTCCGCTCCCGTGCGGGAGTATAGAATCTCCCGCTTTCGGATATTTTGACCTGGAATAACCCACGTTTGTAATTCTCTGGCTTTTTCATGACTTTCAATAGAAATAAATAAACAATCAGCGAACATTTGAACACTTTGGTCAAAAGTTTTTATGTTCGATATACAAGTAATCGAAATTCAGTTCTGCTATGTCAACTCCAACAAGATAGAGGTCTTTATCTGGACCAAGCGGGGGTGTAAGAAAGAAGAAATAGATAACTGCAAATCGAAATGTCAAGCAGATTTAAATGAAAGATTTTCAATTTTTATGACCAAGTTCACTTGGCAATGAATCTTTTTGCACATCATGTTCAATCAACTTTTCGATTTCTTCTGGTGGTCTGAACGATGTTTGAAAGCATGCTTAGTGTGAGACTCACAACAAAATCAAAATATGGAATGTTATGAGTTATGAGACTCGGCGGTATTGAAAAAGGTTATAAAAAAAAAACCATCTTGTATAGATTATAACCATGAATTGAAGAAATAAAGTATAATTATTAACTCTTATCATGCTTATTGGTGATTTGTAGATGAATACGTAAACAGGTCATATATTTAACTTGAAAATGTTGTTCGTGCGAAATCTCCCCCTCAGCTGTCATAGCTGAGGGGGAGATCTCCCTCTTTGAAGGTTTTAGAGGTTGGCAGGTATGATTTGGCCCATAATGACAATATTATAACTTAAGGTAGATTAAAGTCAATGAATTTTTTTTATAAATAACACAAAAAAAAAACTCCAAGGATAAATCAAAACGGAAACGGAAAGAAAATACATAACACATTCCAGTATTAAAGTTTCGTTTATATCTGAGTTATCTCCCCTTGTATGGCAAAGTTGAAAAAAATTGATTCAAACCAGAAATATCCAATCACACTTGTAAAAGACAGTCGCTAAAATATGGAAAACACTTAATTATTATTCATTAAGATGCAAAGTCTAACAAATGAATAATATTCTTCTCTCCAAATTTGCACGTTTCATTAAAGATCTAGACTGATGGTTTTCTGCTGTTTTACAATCAAATATGGCGGAAAACAGCGGAGCTGCCTTAATGTAACCCATCTATATTGTTTCAAGATAAAAAGTGTCAACTTCTAGGCATGAATAATTTTTTTCATGTTCACTATATTTATAGAATACATTGTACCCAAGGGAAAGGAAAAAGAAAGAAGCACTTTCCTATTGCTTGTTGTTTGCTCAACATCCAGTGGCAAATATTTCATGCATGTTCAGGATGCATTTCCTATTGAAAAAATTCTTCATATAAGTCAACATTGTCAGTTGACTCCTTATAGAAATTACAATGTATTGTCCCTTAGTAAATAGTGATTTTAACCATTTTTCCCTTTTGGACAATAGTAGATTCTTAGATAGATAATGGGTGTGTTAACGACCTTGACTGGTTATAAAGCCCTCACACGGTCGGTTGTAGATAGAGTATACGTAAAACTTTAACAATAAGAATGGTCATCAAAACAAGATCTACAACAAATGAATGAATAAATTTGTCAACAAACATGCCAAAATGGTAGTTGACTCCTTCAGTGCCTAATTTAGGATTTTGGAGAGGGAAAAGTTACTTCTACAACTACAATGTATTACAATGTAGGAGAGAGTAGAGAGAAGTGGTCAACCTCTTGGAGAAGAGGATTTCCATTATTGTTTCAGTTTGATCATGTTTTCTTGTAAAACATAGTGATACATTAAAGGAATACATCATTACATGTGTTTTAAATTCAATAGGGAAATAGACCAGCACTATTTTTGGTAAAAGACAGCTTCAAGCCGTCAATTCCCTAAAGGGTTGGCCAGACGTTCTACTTTCCAAGCCTCTCGTGTCAACCATTTTGTATTTTATAGTAAGAAACACCTTAAAATTTCATACTGATTTGATGAGAAGGAGATAAACAAATGAACAGATTGACTTTAAACACTGTGTTACACATTTCCCTTCTGTTTCTCGTGAAATTATCGTATCTCTAGCTCTCCCTTTCACTATTTACGTTTCTATTACAATTCGGAAAAATCAGTATTACGAAATATTCCAAATATATCCAACCTAGTGACGTCATGGTGGGAATTTAACACTTCGTGGAACAATGTGGAAGCAGGGATATCCTGTACACATAAGTATTAAATCATTCGCAAGAAATATTGTACGATTATTAAATCGGTATTTGTTTATTAAACATAATTATGAATGAAGTTTCTTCATGAAAGGGAGAACCATCTTAACTGGACTGTTAATGTGACATACAATGTAGGTGGCATTGTTTTCTTGTCATGATGTAATGGATTATAGCTATAGTCATTTCGTACCCTTACCATTTCGTACCTCATTGAATATTTAAATGTATGCAACTTCGTTACTGGTGTAATATTTATATTTATTAAATGATATGAGCAAATCAGTCCTAATACAGAAAATCAGCATGTGTAATACTGTTGACGTTGCCCTGTTGACATAAATGATGAGTAAATATTGCTTTTCAGCCCAGTCCGATACGGGAAAAAGGCTGAAAAGCAATACAGGATTTTCACTTCTGGTGGCAAATTTTCACTTCCAAATTATGTTGGACATATCTTTACCTGGAATAGACAAATCTGAAAGAAATTGGAAGGCACATTTTTCAATTTTAATGACAAGAAAGTTTAATAATGATCTGTTTTTGTTAGGATTTGCAGAAACATTCCACAACCTTTCCAAGTAGAATTTTCAATTTATTATCATTCCGTCGACCAAAAAAAACATAATATCTGAATATTCTTCCCAAGTACTTTATGTTTGCTAGCTAAATAGAATTGCATTAGCATAGATTAAGTACAAACAAAAAAAAAAAATGTACCTGGACTGGAAATCAGAAATCTCAACAATATAATTGACAAAACAATTCGTCGTGACTGGGAAGAGGCAAGTTCAAATGACTGAAATGTGATTTCCTGTACCTACAACAGGTTGGGACCAAACCCCCTATATGGTGATAATACCTGCATATAGTAATTACTCTTCTATATAGGGATAAAACTATCGCACTGAATTAAAGTACCTATGCATTTTTTTAGCCTGGATTTTTAGTATTCGTATAGTCATCTGATAATTAAAGTCATGCTGATTGTAAGGTGCAAAATTTTCTCTGCTTTCAAAATCTTTCTGTTTGAACCCATCCTGCATGTCCTGGTTTTTTTAATACTAATCAACCAAAATTAATAGTGGTATATATATTGAGGACTTGTTAAATACTTAATAGTGTACTATGGTGTAACCTGGATATAAAACAACTATTGGAAGAATTCCTGGTTCTCCTGATAGAGGAGGGATTTACAGAAGGTAGCAGGTAACTACCGGAAACTACCTGTGACTTAAACTATTGGTATTGGTATCGGATTCGACCCGGAACTGGTTAAATATGGTAATATTAATTATATGGAAAACAAAAGGGCCTGGAATGGTGTAATTTTTATACAACACCATTGTCCTATATTAGTTATATATAAAGTTGAATTCTTTGATTCGTCATTATGCCGGCTAACAAATTGGACCTCGTTATTTTAGTAGTATAGATTTAACAATGGCATGAATAGAAATCTGTTCATTGAGGCACAACTGAGTGGAATTTACCTGACCATCACAGCTTTGAATTATGATGATCAATAGATTGTATTTTCAGTCACTTTATCAGTAAACTAGACATGTGCATATTAAATTAAGTACATCAATTGGTACATCCAATGTTGCAGGTTACTGCCATAATAAGTAGAAAATGTGCATTTGCCATGTTCTGCTTTAAATCCTGTCTAAACAAATATATCCCTCTATAGAACAGTAATCATTCTATACAGGTATTATCACCATATAGGGGGTTGGGTCCCAACCTGTACAATGTATGTAACAGTAAGTTTTTAATCGAAGAATGTGTATTATATGTCACCAAGAGCCAATGCACGTCGAGTTTAAGGGGGACTATCAAACATGCACAACCCAAGGGACAGGAGGTCAGTCTTTCGCAAGACTTGAGCGATGGCAGGCAAAACTATAAAGCAAGCAGCAAATTGTAACAGTTTTATATAATAACAGATCTAAGCGGTGATAATAATTCCAAAACAATAAACAAATAATTAAAATCCAAATGTTCTAAA